CGGGAGCGGCGGGGGCGCGCGCCGACGCGGGGCCAGCCCTGCTTCGCCCGGGTCGCGGGCGGACGCGCGCCGCAGTCGGAGCCTCAGACGCGCGGCGCAGGGGACACCGCGGGGCCGCCGGAGGCCACAGCTCCGTCGGGAACGGACAACGTCCGCGCTCCGGGGAGCCGGGCGGCCGCGCCGGGGCTGAGCGGTGGGCGCGGCGGAAGAACGTGAGTAGCTCCGTGCGCGTCCGGCGGTGACACTCGGTCCTGCTACGGGGCGACGGCTGGAGCGGAGGAGGGCACCGGGGGGCTGCTGTGTTGTCACTCGGACGCCGGCCCGGGGTTCAGCAGAGCGCCCTCCCGGCTGGCAGCGCCGCGCCGCTCTCTGCGGCGGGGCGAACCTGGTGGCCAACTCCCTTCCAACCCTCAGGCCTCGGACGCGCCCGCGGGCGCCGAGCGGGGTGGAGGGGGACGGGCGCCCGGGCGGGGACTCGCCGAAATGCGGCAGCCCTGGCTGGCTCGGGCGGGCCCTTCACCTCCTCCAGTCTGTGGACAACTTCTGCATCCGCGCCCCGCGCTTTCCGGGAAGCCCTGCCTGGGGTCCCTGGGTGGCCAGTTGGGCCTGGGGAGGCTGCTGGGGCCCGGCACGGCGGCTTCCCCGCCATGCACGCGGGGGGCGTAGGGTGTCACGCCACTGTGCCGGCGGGGCGTGGAGCGCAGGTGCCGGGCCGGCGCGCACCGGCGGGTGCGCGTCCGGGTCCCCGCGGACACATCTGGGCGTGGGCTTTGTTCGGATGTGCTCACACCTGCGCCGATCGCCGGGCTCCAGGCCGAGCCGACCTCCACTCTCGCCGCCCCAGGGGAGAACTCGGGGAATCTGGGGGAAAGGGAGAGACCGCAAAGGCAGCAGGGTGGGGGCTTTCCGGGGGGTTTGTTGGCCCTACAGGTGCGAGTCCTCGGGGTCCCGGCGCTCCGCCCAGCCTCCGGGGGCTGGGACTGTTGGGGCTGGCCCACCGGGGTTTGGGGCTGGCCCAAAAGAGCCCCTTCCCTGCCCGGGCTCCCGGTAGTGGGCTCTGGCAGCCGTTTGGCCCGGGATGCTGTGTTGAGCCGGGAGTGACTGCCGGCTCTGGAGCATCCATCTCGCCGCCAGCGCCATCTGCGCCGTGCGCCGCCCCCGGCCCCCTCCTGGCCGCGCGAGTGGGCGCCGCCGAGTGCTGGTCCCCGGCTGCTCGCCGGCTCGGCGGTTCCCGGCCCGCAACTCCCCGCGCCCAGAGGGGACCGGGGGTGCCGCGGTCGAGTGAGCCAGGGACTCGTCATCACTCCTGGAGCGGTGTACCCTGAGCAGCAGGCGCCGCCAGAGGGTCCTCGGGCCCCGCGGGGCCGGTGAGCCGGTCGCTGGCCTTCCCTCCGGATCCCCTCCCCTGTCGTCCGCTCCGGGCCCTCGGCCGCATCCTCGGTCCCCCGCACGCTCGGGGGGCCGCCCTTGCGCAGCTGCCGACGCCGAGGGAGGGCGCCGAGCGGGGGCGTCTCCTTCCACCCAGCCTCTCTCTTGCCCTCCGCGGAGCTGTTTGTCCTAACAGGGAAATGTTCTTTTCCTTCTCGGTCCCGCATGGTTAACGCGCAGAGATGCAGGTCTGAGAGGCTGGGCCCTTCCTCGCCCGAGGCTCTTGCAGAGAAGTGATGGAGGCGAGTGTAATGGGGCAGGAGGCTTGCGTTCTGCACCAGGAGCTCCCCCTGGGGCTGTCAGCAACGCGGCAGCTACTGAAGGCAGACCTTTGGAGGCTGGGCTGCTTTGGTTTGGGACTGCGTGAGGCTAACCATGCCCTGTTATTAAAATATTGTAATAATAGCTGAAGAGTAAAGGAGACTTTCCGGAAGTACTGAAATGGGTTTAGACCACTGGATACTTTCCACTTTAATGGTAATGAGAATCCACGTTGTTTTGAGAGCTTCAGATGTACCAGGCGCTGTGCATGGTACACGTATCATCTTCTTTAATTTCCACAACATATGACTACCCTTTTCTTAAAATTAGGAGACGGAGACTTGAGAGGTCAGTTAACTTTCCCAAGGCCACATAGCTAGGAAGCAGGGGAGGGGAGTGGGGGGCAGGGGCAAGGGTGAGTTTTGCCCCTACACATTACCATCCCAGACTGTGAAGATGGGGACTTTTTGGAGGCTTACCGCATTAGTTTAGGGGAACCACCAAGTGATCAGGGACATTATAAGGCCATTCAGTTCTGACTCCCACAGACCTCACAGTAGCAGGCGCTACTGTAAATCAGCAGATTGTATTGTGGAATAGCCTTTTATTGCCTCGTACTGCCCTGGAATTCCTTTACATGTTCTTTTATTCCTGTTAGCTTTTAAGTGCCCTGCTGTTTGCCTAGCCAGTTACAGTCACCGGACTGTTCTTAGTGACGAGATGCCTCTATGATTACAGAGAGGCTGAGAGGTTCCTGGAACATTGCAATGTTTCAGAAAACTTTTTTCTTTTTTTTAATTTTAAGAAAAGGCAAACATTTCCATGTGGCAAACGTTTCTAGTAGCCTCCCCAGTCCCGAATCTCCTTTGTACACTCCTTTGACTGCAGATTTACTCCTCAAATTGGATGTTGAATTTGAATAAGACCCTACTATGACATCTTAGGAAAGTATCTGATATCCTGAGTATTTGACTGTGTGGTGCATTTACAAAGATGCTGCATATTAACTCGTAGAAACAAGAATTTGACCTAAAGTGAGGTCAGCTGTTCCTGGAATAGCCTTCAGCATGTTTGTAATTGTGAATTCATTGTGCATTCTTTAAACATTTTTTTAATGTTTTTATTTATTTTTGAAGGAGAGAGAGAGAGAGAGGCAGAGCATGAGTGGGGGAGGAGCAGAGAGAGAGGGAGACACAGAATCCGAAGCAGGCTCCAGGCTCTGAGCTGTCAGCGCAGAGCCCGATGTGGGGCTCGAACCCACAAACTGTGAGATCATGACCTGAGCCAAAGCCAGACGCTCAACCGACTGAGCCACCCAGGCGCCCCTCATTGTGCATTCTTAATCCTACTGACTCATGGTCTTCTTTCAGCCTGCTTTGTACTTTATTGCAGGAAAGTTGCAAAACATTTCACGTCATCCAGGAATTTGAGAGCTGTAAGGAACACTGTATCCAAATGTTTTGGTTTCTGAATGAGTACAATGGGGTGCTGAGAGGTCACCCAGCCACCTAATGCCGGGTAGTGATGAGGTCTTTGGACTGAAGGCCAGTCTCCCCACGTGCTATCATTTCCTTATTGCAGCAGTGACAGTAAATGAAAAGCAAACTCATCTTTGGAAAAGGTACTTCCTGTGAGGCTGATGTGGCCGCGACAAGGATAGCTGGGGGTGTAAGTGCTTCCGAAGCAGGAGAGGGTACTGTACCCGGGCTACAGAAAACTTCCTAAAGGATCATTTTGAATAACGTTTTCATGTAGGTGTAGTTTTCCTTGCACAACTGGCTGGATAGAAACAGAAATGGCAGATAATGTATTTGCATGTACAAAGGAGCTATTTAATGGAACCCCACAGGATGCTTTTCTGATGAAGAAATACTTTAAGTCATTCATTCATTCATTCATTCATTCATAAATATTTACTGAATGGATAGTCTAGTGTCCTAGACACTGCAGTTCCTGCCTTCAGAGATATTAAGTTTCACTTTTATTTTGAGAGAGAGAGAGAGAGAGAGGGAGGGAGGGAGGGAGGGAGAGAGAGAAAGGGCACATGCATGGGCAAGGGGCTGAGAGAGGAGAGAGAGAGAATCCCAAGCAGACTCCATGCTGCCGTAGAGTCTGAAGCGGGACTCGATCCCACAAACTGAGATGAAATCGAGAGTTAGTGTTCAACTGACTGAGCCACCCAGGTGCCCCCAGGGAGATTAGTTCCCATGATAACATTAGAAGTATGGCTGCATACTTCTGCACACAGACTCTTTTTTCACATATCACAAAGGTACAGCTTGATGAACTTGCTCAAACTGAACACACGGGTGTAACGAGTGCCCAAATCAAGGAATAGAACATTGTGAACATCTGAGAAAGTCCTCTTGTGGCTCCTACCCGTCATCGCTCGCTCCCTTAAGGGTGAGCACTGAGCCTTATCGGAAGGGTAAGCTGTTTCCCTGAGATTCTCACCAGGAAATCAGAAGGTCTTTGTTTTTTAGTCAGCTGGGGCTGCCATAACCAAATAGCATAGACTGAGTGGTGTAAGGAACAGAACTTTGCTTTCTTCAAGTTCTGGAGTTGGGAATTCTGGGATCAGGGCACCAACATGGGCAGGCTCTAGTGAGGGCTGTTTCCCTGGCTTCCAGATGACCATCTTCCTGCTGTGTGCTCACACATGCTTTCCTCAGTGGATGTGCACCGAGATCTCTG